CAAAAGAATACTGAAAGACACTCGACTCAAAGTAAGCTGTGTAGACACTTAAAAACATTCCCATTCTACTTGCTAAACAGTAAGACTCTGAACTTAAATGCTCACCTGAACTTTCTTTAATGCCACAGGTTTTCTGTCCAGAAGACAAGTTGCTTTGTAAACTTCACTGAATTGTCCTCGTCCAATCTTTTTCTCTATCTGAAAATCTGCCAACGTGCAGCGATACGGGTACGACGTTAAATGTCTCTGTTCAAGTCAAAAGACATTAAATAAGTTAACTGGAAAAAATGATGCAAAACCATGAACTTGCATTCCCAACCTGTCGTCTTCATGACCTAGCGGTTTCTATGACTAATCGTATTCAGGAGGATAAATTCCTCACAGGAAGGATTGCCCGCCAAGAAAGACAAGGAAGTTTGGTGTTGGCTTGGTGTACGACTTCAGCCACTACTGCACCGGAGCAGCTGCACTGTAAAAGCGCAGGATGCGGCCGCGAGCGCACACGTGTGACGGCAGAGACTTGCATAAAAATATTGACCAAAGCAAAGCATAAAACTAGTAACGGCTACCAGAACTGTACAGAGCAGAGTTAAGATCAGCAGATGTGTACATCCTCCTGCTGATGGTCAAGAATTTAATCTAGACTGATTAGTCTATGGATAATTTCGACCATAAATGCATTAATTCCTAGTAAATGTATTAGTAACATGGGCTGAATTAAATTACTTTTTAAAAAAGGAAATAAAGTCTTGCCCTCTGTGTAGGTAACTAATTAGTCCCAAACGACTGTCTCCCTAGTTACACACCCTCTCATCAACTTTGCCTGCGTGTGTCACCTGGGAGATGCTGGCGCCTACTTCTGAGCAGTCTCAGGTAAACACCCAGCCAGGCAGGTAGACACAGCGTAACGAGGATTACGTACTCCATGGACTAGGAATTGCTCTCTAGAGCCAATCTGGTCTCCTATGTAATTAACACGACTGCTAACAAACGTTTAAAAAAGAAATTATGAAAATTAATTACTTAAAGTTGCCATGCATGCCAAGTAGAGTATTTCTAAGCTTCAGCATCTTGAGTCGTTTCAGAGTTCCCACTGCAAACCACAGACAGACAAGTACACAACAGAAGGGGGGGCGCAGAGGGCTTCCCGGGGACACAGCCATCGTTTACAGCCGATCCTTCAGCAGCCAACGCCAGCACACGGGCGTGGGGTGAGGCCAGGAGGGCCGGGCACTTGAAGGAGATGGCTATTGCTGCCACTGCCATTTCTTCACACAGCCAGGTGGGGCTGGACGTAGGATTTCAAATGCAAGCAAAGCTTTCAGTCCAGCATCCTTTGCCAGCACTCATACAAGACAGGGTAAGGATTTCTTACAGTGTATATTTATTTTGATGAGTAAATAAATTTGGGCTTCTTTTCCTTGCAACAGAAATAAAAACAACTACTATTCAACAAACAATAAAAAGCATCAATCAGACATCAGAAAAGCTTCCAGATTTCAAGGTGTCTGTGCAACTCTGCGCTACAATCACAGTTATTTGACAGAGGTTTTGTAAACGAAGTTGTAAAATTTAACGTTTTCTTTAAAACTCACCAGTAAAGTCCCCCAAATAGTAACTTCTGGCCCACAAACTTCATCAATCAACCAGGACAAGCTATTTTGAAAACTGTCGCCTTTGCAGCATCTTTGTCACAACAAATGGAGGGGAAATCCCCACAATGAAAGCTTCTCTACTGCAGGTATACTCAAGAAAAATTTTCTTTTCCAAATGCTGATGATACAGGGATGCAGAAATAAATCACAAGCCAGACAGGGAAAAGACTATCAGGTCTTTTTGTTGTCATCTTCCCCCTCATGTCTCTGGCAGTGAAAGGCTGTTTGTTGCTGGAGCTTGCCCTGCACTTCCACACCACTGCCCCGCGTCAGCCGTTGAGACCTTACTGGGGATAAAGCTCTGCAGTTATGGAAAGCGAGGACTGCTGCTGAGCTGAAAAGCTTAGATGGTTATGAACTCCAGAGAAGACAAAAATGCAATACCGTAACATCCAGCCAATGCCTGCTGATTCAAGTAGGCACATAACTGGAAATTTAACTCCAGGCCATCATTATCATCAGCTTTCTCAGTTTAAGTTCCCTAAAAGAGCAAACCCTTCCTTTTCAGACGAAATGACACTTCGAGTAATTATTTCTGAAATGCCAAGGCCACAGGTAAGTTTTTTTCATCTATCACCATGAGCATTTAAATATTCTCATACTACAAGAAATGGTTTTAATTTCTCTAGGCTAAAAAAGACAACAAAATTTTAAATTCATGGACAATAACCTACACAAGTAAGAAGGCTGCATTAGAGTTTGCATTAGAATTTACAGAATACTCATCTCATTCCAGGGAGTGCTAAGGGAACACCAGTTTACACAAGTATCTGTTCAACCTGACTGAGAACCAACCAGGCACATCTCCGTTTCCCGACTTTTTTACATACGAGCTACTAAGAAAATGAATTGAGCCGTCCAGTCAAATCGCTTTATGCGGCCAAAACAAAGGTGTCCGTATATAAAATTACAAACCGCTTTTTCCTAATTAAAAACCAGAAAGACCCAAACCATTTCCTAAACCGGGAACATGTGCCTCCTGAGCCACACTCTTCTTGAATAGCAAGACAGCTTAAGCCAAAGCTTTTCTAACTTGCAGTTAACAGTCACAATAGAGGCAGCAGTTTTAATGAGATTTTACAAAGCAACTACCACAAAACTTTATTTTTAAGGAAGAAATCCTTGCTACAATCAAGGATGATATCCATTTGCCCTTCATAAATCATTAAATTCTGTGTTTAAATCAAGAGTGTTTAGTGTAAATTAAGATTTTAAGCATGTGCCAAGAAATAGCTAGCAACTTCTTCACTTGAAAATATAAATAAATGTTGGGCAAGTGACAGGGTGTATGTGTGTGTGTCCTAACCACCTTCACATGGTTAGCACATAAAGTCTGCTTGCCATGCTGGAGTTAATGCTGGGTGATGACTGGACACCTTAGCTGATATGTTCTGGCATCCTCCAGGACTACAGCTGCACATTTACATATGCAATGACCTAGATTTGCATTTGCTATCACAACCTATCAGACCTAATTAAAGTAACGGAGCTTTCACACAGGCTAGAAGATGTTTGACTGTGGTATAAACCAGAGAGCATGCCCAGGTTAGACCAAACCATACCAGAAAGCTCCCTATCGATTACAGCAGCCCCATTTCCCCATATGTCTGTTTAAAGTTAACCTTCTCTTACGTTTTACTGTACTTAAATGTAAGCAGGTAACTCTTCTAAATGCTGTTACAAGGGTATGTCTAGAATTCTTAAGAAATCTTATCTGCCTCCTCAGAATACCACCCCTATAGTCTGGCCTTGCATATCTTTCATTTATTTCATGACTTTTGCCAAGGGGAACTCCATTTTTTCAAGTCCTTCCACATTTAACCACTACAATTTTTCGTAAAGCTGTCAAAGAATCAATACCTATTCATTCCAATAAACCATGATCTTTATTTCTGCAAATCTCAAGGTTCTCTTACAGAGATATAAACTGCAAATAAAATTAGATACCACTACCATCTTCAAACCTGTTCACCAAACCCATATTTTCTCATTTTCAGGACAGATTCAGGCTCAGTGAAGGGTTCAGGTCTGAGTGAATACAGTAAAACCACACCACAAGGTAATGATGCAGCTTGAATTAAAAAAAAGAAGTGAAAAGAAAAGAGGGGAGAAAAACCAACCAGCCAACCAAAAAACTCCTCCAACACTATGAAAATAGGGCTGCTTGCACATTTCTGTTCCCGGGGCAGCTGTAGGAAGGGGACAGTCTGGGAAGAACTAGCTTTGAGACAAAGACTGTTCTCTTTATCCACACAATGAAGTCCCATTCTTCTACTACTACATTAAAACAAAAAAAAAAAAGCCAAAGATTAAAGTCAATTAATTCCTCATTTGAATAAAGAGGCTATTCATTTTTAAGAAGAAATGCAGAGATTATTCCAAGAACAAGCTATTCTGGACAACGTCTCTGGCATACATGTTCTTTCAGATGCAATCACTGTTGCAAGAGCAAAAATTTCAAAGCTGGCAGAAGTTTGCAATGACAGTCCTCGTCACAATACTTAAGGGAGACACTTGCCAGAACTTTCAGCCTCTAATTTTGAGGTGTTACAGGAGATTTTCTGCAAAACAGGATTAGTACGGGTTTGTAACACTAAAAAAAATAAAATAAAAACTTCATTTCTATTACCTTGTACACACTTGAACAGATATGCTGCAAGGATAAGAAGCTTAAAGAATAGTAAGAGTCTATACACCAGATTTTAAAGCAACCCAGGCAAATACAGAGGATGACAGTAGCAGAAGAGCTCCTTGGTGATAGGTTGTAGCTTCTACTTACGCTTCCACATTTTCGGGGATGTCTGCAGCAGCGCTAGCAGAGGCACCTGATCACAGGCAACTCCCTGAGCACGCACGGACACAAACGTGCCAAAACTTGCAACTGGAGATTTGACAGCTTCCTCCAAATCCTTCATACACTGCTATAACCACATGCAGGTAGGACAGCTACGTAACCTGAACACAGTTTTTGTATTTTTTTTTTTAAATGCACAGGTGTACAGCTCAAACTTTGTGTTTTGGGATAAGGAAGAAAAAAAAACCAACCTGTTCTGTAGAACGACTTTCAATCTCCAGAACAATTAATGTTTGGCCAATAAATTGACCTCTTTGTTATTTAAGAGCTGGGGAAAAACCTAAACAGCCCTGAAAAAACTGTCCCAGCAGCCTTTTCTGCAGCCTCTAACCTGGCGTTTCAGGCAAAGCAGAGTACTGAGAAAGCACAAACCTCAGCGCAATGCCAACATGCTGCAGAGCACTGCCTGTGTGACTGCTTCTCCCAGGGGCGTGGAAAAAAATAAGCCTGAATGAGCTGAAAAAAGGGGAATGTCCACTACCAATTGCAAAATATCTAAACCCAGAGTGCTAATGGTAATTTATAATAGTCAGTTGTTTTACTGCTGCCTGATTGACATGTGGAAAACTGGCACTAGCCATTAGTCTGCACAAACTGCTACAAGGTGACGAGAATTTTAGATTATTTGTAATCAACCTAAAAATTGTTAAAACTGGTTAACCAACAGTTAAAAAGTCTGACAGGACAATCTTTAGATGCCAATAAAAGCATCTTTCCAGTAGAGCCATGAAATGAAATATTCTTTAGAAGAGTAAAAACATACTCGCCCAATTAATTTTCTGAAATCTCATTAAAAAATTTAGCCCGACTAAGTCGTACACTTCTGACCTGAATTTTAATTATCTTTACACTGGATATAAGGTTTTTTCCTGATATTTGCAATGCATCATTAATTTTAAAGGCATGGTTTCCTTGCTTCTAAAGTGCATACTTCATCTGAATGACATTTACCGTAAACTAATTTCACCTTTAAAAGACATCTGCAATAGTAGACGGGGAAGCTTCAGCCCCTCCAGCTGAGCACGTGTACATTACAAGCAATGATTTACTATCAACATCAGTGTTTCAAACCTCTTTATGATACCCCAAATTATACACCCATCTCCATTCAATAATGCCCACCTGAAAAGAATTTTGCATACTTCGAGGTTGAAATTCCAGTTTGAATTTATGAGAACCCATTAGAACAGATTGATTAAAAAAAGAACTTCCAAGCTCACAAGAGATGAGGAAACTTTTAAAATATGGATTATCCTTCAAACAGGTAGTCAAGTAATTATTGAAGAACACATCAGGTTTCTCAATTTGCAGCTTCAAAACTAGACTATACTGTCATCATAAAATATCCTTAACCTGACCTGTTACCTAGAATTTAGAAGTTTGCTGAAGAACTTGGCTTGAATTTCAAAGTTTTAACATCCCTATCAGCAGATATTTGTACTAGCTCATGACAAGGAAAGAAAGAAATACCAGCTTGAAAACAGTAGACCAAGGTGATATGCACAAAGAAATTAATATTAACACAGAAATAATCTAAGCATTTCAGAAAATGGTAAATTGAAGAGTCTTTGCTGCCAGATGACCGGTTCAAGTCTACCTTCAATTTACAGACCAAAATGAAACTACCATGAACAGCTCTGCTGCTGTGTGAGTATATAAAGGGGTTGCTTAAAAGTGAATTACAGCTTCATACTTTTGCATCACTGATTTACTCCTAAATAACTTTTATTGCTTACTGCTCTAAACACTAAGTAATCTAGAGACTTAGATAACTGACACTTTCACTCTAGAACATTAGTAAAAATCGTTCTGCCTCTTGCTGATGAGCTTCACCAGGGTGATGCTGGGCAGGTCAGAGCGCCAGAAGCTAAAACTGATTTTATTGGGCCTTTTTCCATTTATATATCCACTTACTCCAAGAAACTTCTAAATACGAAGCATTACTCCGAAGTGTCATCTCATTACTAAACTATAGTAGTTAAAGACAGAAAGAAAAGTCTGATACACTTACTCATAGCTCTGTGCTAACCACTTATAAGACAGAAATAACACCTCTGTCAGAATGAAATAAAAAGCAACCTTTGGAAGCAGCGTAATTATAGGAAAAGTTTCTACTAGAGGAGCACACTGTAGCTCTCGTCTTTTTTAGGGCTGACACAGTAGCTTTGAATGAAAGGTCTGGAAGGAAGAGGGGGCCATTCCACACAAAAACCCCTCCTCATCCAAGACTCTTAAAGCTCAAGTTCTGGGTTTTGTCTGCTTAAGCTTTTATCCCTGCCATTCATGACATTTCATCTGAGACAAGTTTGGTGAATTTTTCCCTCCCAAACCTCTCTCTCTTCCACAAGCTATTACCCAGCACGTCTGCATTACTTCTATCTTCTGAAGAAAGAAATCATGTAATTTTGGATTCCTCTAGGTAATAGGTACCAGAAAATTGAAAGTGATATATAATTATGTTTCTGCAAAATGGAAAATCAGAAGTACGTAATGAGCAATCGAATCATGCCACCAATGTAAGGTAGGCTCTAAATAGTACAATTTTTGTTAATTTCTAAACTGAGTTTCCTGCGGAGATGCATTATTTTTCGTTTCTCTGGTAGACTATATTTGTCACTGAGCTTTTTTAAAATTTTACTTTAACAGCAAAAACAAAGAAGTCCTTCTGCAATCCTAATTCCAAACTAGATCATGCTCATAGCAGCTAATACACTGAGACCTCCATTAACACAACTTGGATATTGATGGAGTTGAGGGGAGGTTTCACTGAACAATGAGCATATAGCAAGATAAGCCCACTCAGCATCAGCATAACAGCAGAACATAGATTATTAGCTACTAATTACACTTAACTATGTCATTACAAATTCTAACATGTGCTCCAAGATGCCACGAATGTATCTGCTGCACAGGAACACTTCCTAATCTTGTTCATGAAATAATTACAGGGGCTCTATCCTGCCAAATGAGGCAGTAATTAACCCTAATTGCTCAAAATGCAACTGGCTAATTCTAGGAGATTAATCAAGGGGATTCAATTATTATTAAATGACTTAATATGACAAATTGCTACATTAGGAGAGGGGGGCTTTGCTCCATACAACGTTCCTTTCCCAGCAGCGCTGCATAAGAGACAGTCATCGCTGCACGCTGCGTGTAGGCAACTCGCCGCTTCTGCAAACCCTACCCTGGGTGTTGACACAGCTCTCCTGTTGAAGGAACCTGGATCACCACTGGACTGCGTGTTTGGAATGACAGATTGACACCTACAACCCCCTCCCTACGGTAACGTTACACCACAGTTGCAATAGCCTTCTTTCTGACAGCTTTTCCACAGGTAAAATGTAATTGCTCTGATAAACAGACAAAGAGTCTAAAAAAAGGCAAGCAGCCAGACCTCACAAAATACAAGTTTCATGATTACAGTGAAGGTATTGGCACTGCTTTGAATGCAGGTCTAACCCCAGGGTTAACCCC